TTTAATTTAGCATTCGCTGAATGCGAAAGATTGCAATGATGATAATGATATTTGCTTCAGGGCATAGACTCGGATATGTAGTATTGTGTTCTACTTGTAAGTACAGTATTAGAAATGATTTTGAAATTCAGATGTGAACCAAATAGCACGGTGGTCTTCGGACTTCCATCTGCGATGCAATAGTTAGGGATGTGAAGGCTTTAAAGTAGCAGTTTCCAATCGGGGGCCCGTGGCAAGGAAACTTCTCGTTCTCCCTAATTTTATTGCTTGATAAGGTTATTTCGCAGGCTGTTTTCATTTTGTTGAGCATGAATTGTTTGAGAATGATGGGATTTGAAATCTGCCAATCAAAATAACACTACAAATACCATTATAATGATAAAAATCGCATGGTTGCCACTTTAGATGTTTTATAGCTAGATCTAGATCAGAGGTCACCAACCTTTCCGAAGCCGAGGGCTACTTTCTGGGTACATATTAAGCTGAGTGCTACCAGTTCAATGCACACTTCTAAAAAAGTCACTATGCTCGATTAAGCTTCAAATGTTGATAATTACTGGAAGTTAGTCAAATAGAGACACTGATAAACTTGGATTCTTCAGGAAATCGTACGATTATCACAACATAGCAAATAAATTACTATAAATGACACTTTCATTTTCAAAGTGTTTTTCAAATTGATTTTAAAGTAGTCACTTCTATAATATCCTAGGAAACCACAATGTACCTGCTTTTTTACAAACACCCAGCATAAGCCTAAGATGAAATGGACTCAACAGTTGTACTATCAAATATCACACTGGTCATCAAATGTTACACATTTAAAAATTAGGAATATCTTATTTTCAACTAGGGGCAAACCAAAAGCAAACAAATCTGGTCCAATGCTCTCCACGGGTGTGTTGTACTCCGGAGTGTAATTTGAAACTGCAACTCTGAGCGAGTATTGCAGATTTTTTCTTCAGTGAGGCGTGTTCTGTGTTTGTTCTGGTTCATGTCAAAAAATGTTGATTCACAAACATAGGTTGAACCAACCCCGTGTAACTCCCGATATTTGGTCCCGATGTTAGATTTGCCGTCACGCCCGACTAGGCGCACACAGATTATTGCTTCCAAAATCATCGTGCGTTTTCCTGCGTTCTGACGGCGTTGTCTCACGACAAGATTAATTGAGTGGCTTTATAAATATTCAAATTAGTTGTGCATCAACATTAATAAAGATTTTATTATAGAATGCAGATTACAAAACAAAGTAGAAGAGCAACCATTTGAGAGGGAAGGCAGTAGGCACTAGAACCGGTCCTAGCACTTGAAAGCATATTGACAAATGACAGTACTGCAGTGAGATCTGAAGATTTAAAATTCACTTTAGGCTCCAATGAGTGGATGTAGTAGAGAATCACTTTGTGCTACGATCGTTCAGCAAAAAAGGTGTGAATGTCCTAGATAGCCAATACAGTAATTATTTGTCAAGGAAACTAAATTTTAATAAGAGATCAAGATATTATGTAACCTGATATGTATATTTCCAGGAAGGAAAGGATCATAAAAAAGTTGCAGTAGAGGATTTATGCTGTGTAGCAATAAGCAAGGATATAAATTGACTAATAGGTGATGATTTATCTCAAAATCAGAATCAACTCACACCATACAGCCATATCAATGAAATTTTTGCTTGAGGAACTAAAACTTTCGGCAAAAAAGATATGTGGTGAACGATACCACCCTGAAATTGTAAGGTCGGTATGAAAACACAAATTGAACACACATATTTTAACTTCAAATAACGTGTTTTATGATGGATTTTTTTCCTTTCATTCTGTCATTGCATACGAAGTCACCAGCTGCATATGACAACATAAGAGGTGCTTTACGTTTGCCATGTGAATCTATTTTGCTTGATTTCAGGCTGGTACTAATACCCTTATTCACATAAATCGGATACCTATCATTGCTATTATCTAAACATGGCTTCAACATATATATATTTATAATTTTAGTTATGTCAAAAAAATTTTGCATTATTTTGCCGAGTGTTCTTAAATTATTGATTTGTAATAAATAGCAATAACTTTTTTGCTACTGCGAAATCCTCCACTTTCATTGAATGCATGAATATTTCTACTGTAACCGTTATATTTTATTAATTCCAATTTGTTATATGAGGTATTCACATTTTTGTTTTAAATAACACTTTGTCAAAGTGGCTGTTATACTTCTATATATAAAACATACATACTTAGAAGGTAGACAAGGCCGAAGCTCCAATTGTTGTAGGCAATTTATTTCAAAATATCGTAACTAAAATATAAATTTTTGCAGACTGCTCGAAACTCGCTTTTGAAGAATGATTCACCAGATGTGGTTTTGGCATGGAAACACATCTAGAGGGAATTTATGAAGATATGTCTAAAAAAACATTTGAAACAGCAATGTAAACTAACAGACCAACATGTTTAACCTAATAGCTTGACAAAAATGTCTGTTGAATATTCAGCACAGGTATAGCACAAAGTATTGCTTTAGATACTAATTGAGTGGTCTTTTTTATTGGATCTATCTTCTATTGAGCATTTAAATACCTGGAGCATGATTTTTATTTCTAAAATTATCAACATTATTCAGGTCATTAATAACAGATTAACCATGGAAATTTTTCTTTCTAGGTTCTTCCTGCATCTGTTGGTGAGATTTTGGAAATGTCTGAATTTGAAGCAACTGCCAAGTATTGCAAACTGCAGAATACCTTTCTTGGCATATGCAGCAGCACTACAAACGTGGTCTACCTTAAAAACGGAAATCTACTCCCTTTGAAACATCTGGAGACAAAAGACTGCAGTGGATCAGCCAAAATTTCATAAATTATTTTACACACTGGAAATCTACAACAGGTGATTAGCCCGAGAAAAAAACTTCTGTAAAAGGTACAATACTTGAGATAGAATGAGACCAAAACGATACGCTGCTAGTAGTATATATTTACGGTTGAACCAACGACTAACATACCAAACACTGGTCTCGCAAAATAGGATTGCTGTTTAATTTGAATCGCGAACTTTTTCTGCTCGTACCGCGCTGACTAGTGAATGGTTAGCGTGATAGATTGTGTGACAAGGTGTGAAATGTTTCTCCACATTGTGCCGCTCTGCCGTCGCTACAATCGCCCCGCAAATGAAACATAAAAAAAATGGTAAAAATAACTCCACCTCCCATTCATCGTGAAAATGGTAGGTTTTCTTTTTTTTCAGCCATTTTTCTTTGGAATCAATATTTGTGTTATTGCTGCTCCACAAACCAACGACCAAGAAAAAAACTGGGTTCGAGGTTGATCGTTACAATAATTGATGTAGTGTCATTCCCAGTTCTCATATGAGTGTGATTTATAAAAGAATAGCAGGACAAAAATTTATGTAGCTTACTAAGCGTCGTTATGAAAGTCTATTTTAGAACAGACCTGCGGGCGACTAGGTGCCCGCGAGCAACGCGTTGTTGACCCCTGATCTAGATGTTTAGATCAGCATTTCTTAACCTGGGGTAAATTTACCTCTGAGAGAAATTTTCTTCATTCTTAGGGGTAAATTTCGTTATTGTGAAAAAAAGATTGAGAATGGTAAACAATAACCACATCTGTTTGCCTGTTTTGTTGCGAAAAACGTTGTGTTATTGGTAAGATGTGAGAAATCAGTATTAGCCGGTTATTATCAGTAGGCCTATATTTTAACCGGCATTAAAACCAACACCATTAAATAAGTTATTTTGTTATTGTACTGTATTGAGTATTGTATTTTCATGTTCGTCATTATTTATTTAGTTAATATTTGGAGTGATTATCATATAAATAGATTAAATTGTGCGTGTACAAAACGTCCGCAGCACGAAATATATCAATGGAAGTTGATATTGAACTTCCATATTGAAATGGTGCTGCTGTGGTTGTACTAAACTTGCTAAGCCGATTTCAAAGAAGAATATCCAATGCGCTTGTTTCCCAATTTGCGTTCGAACGACAAATTATTCCTCATCGACGAATTGTATAACGGATTCTATTCTTCTTGACGTTAGCAACTGGTCCCACCAAGAACCATTTCTGCGATATTGCAACGTGAAATTAATTTGCAATTTGCCTCTTATTCGCACACTATATCTAAAGTAGCCTTCCGGTCTTTGTATGTATGCTTTTGAGCAGAAACTATTTAGTAGCCTATATCAAACGTAAGTTATGATAGTTTGGATCATACTTCTATTTGGTTGGTTTTTCTGTAGTTTACTACAAATAACCAAACGAGAATATCGGTCGGAGACCGAAGACTTATCGATCGAAAGTTAGGGGTTCCCCTAAAACAGAAACTGCGGTTTTGATTCAACCGCCACTGGCTGGCTATATGCCACTGGCAGTAAACGTTGGCTGTGATTGTATATGAGTTGAATGCACATTTGTAGCACTTTACTAATCTTAAAAACAGCTGTCTATAATATCAAACCACACACATATATACATATATATTCGTTGTGATCAATATGAACCTATATTTTAACACGAAATATCAGTTTGAGTAATACAATCTTTTGCATTGAAAAATAATTGTCAGATGCAATATTCTAAAGTGCTGTCCTGTGATAGATAAAATTCATATTAGTTTCTCGAAATGCGAACAAAATTAGCTAAAAGTCACCACTATAAGATTTACAAAAAATTAAACTTTTCCATATAAATAGAAAATGCGAAGTGTAAACCGCGTTCGAGCAATATATACACATATATATATATTGATAAAATATAAATCACTTATGGGTTCTCAGAAATAATCAATTTACTATCATCATTAGAAAGACGTCTAAATCAAAACAATCATTTATAGATGATTATAAGAAGGATCATTTGTAGCAATATTGAAAACTACATAATTATCTTGAATACCTTGTAATTGTGAACGGTAATATTACGTTTGATTAAGTGATCACAATTTCAGCGAATAATTAATACCGAAGTGATCATCACATTATGTGTACAAATCATGGCATACTCCGTTGATAAATTCGACCCTTATTGAGATGTGATTACGCCAAGATTGAGGGTAAACCCTAATATATCGACAAGTAATTGGATTTGGAAACATGTTGATCTTTTTGGTATCTCTGTCAGAGTTACCTGTAAATATCTGAATAAAAAAAAATGTTTTACCCCAAGTCGAAGATGGGTGGTGAATCGTGATAACTGATTCGAATATAAAATATGTATCATTTGGCACAAAGCATGGACAATTGTATTCAATTGGCCTATACCTGTTCAGATTGTGATATCTGATGACAAGCATGTTGGACATTTAAAAATCACATATTTACAACATTCAGCAAAAATGATTTCAGGTTTTCAATAATCACTAGAGCTATTCAATATATGTTCTATCAATCCGGTATTCAATTATGAATGTATTTTCTATGTCCCAACACTCTAAGACACGGTGGTCCAAGGTGGTCTAATATTTTTGTATTGTTGGCGGGCCACACTAGTGGCAAGAATAGATAAACAGTGCGATACCAAAGAAACACTTTCATCGAACAAACACATTGATCATTATTACTTATCGATCTTTAGACCGGTAAGTATGTTGACAGGTATTTGTCTGTTTGTCTGACTGTCTGTTAGATGCACGCGATATCTCACGAAGGCGTGGATTATTCTGCTCCAAATTGCATGTGCATTCATCATATCTCGGACCAAAAGCCTATTGATTTTGGATGAATTTTGTCGTATAATTAGCGAGTTCTTAATTAATTAGTGACGAGACACGCGGTGTCACTCTAGATCAGGGGTCATCAAACTACGGCCCGCGGCGTCATTTTATCCGGCCCGCAATAACACGCAAAAATGGCTAAATTTTTTACCGAGGGAGATTTTCCCTCATCATCGTCTTTCTTATTTATTTCGTAACATTGGCCAATCAGCAAGATGCAAAAAAGTGACGTAATAATAAGCCTTTTCGCATCCTCTCAGACACTTTTGTCACCCTGACAGATTTTCAGTTGTGGTTGTGAACAATACTTCGTTTTTGCGGCTTTGATTGTTATTCGTTAGTTTTTGGTTGTGTTCCGGAAATTGGAGTATGAATCAAATAAGTCAATCACCATTTGCCTCCTTAGGAGTTGTAGTTTTAATAGTATAGTATTGAAAAATTAGTCTAGAAATAGGCGTGAGAAAATAGGCTAAAATTCTAAAAACGGTCAAGAAATAACGGAGATATCGGAATTTTAGTACCGCCCGACAGGCCAAATATTTCCATAAGGATTGTATTACTTTTTTGATAAGAACTGTAATAAATATGAAAGAAGAACACTTATCAATCACCAATCTTTCGATGTGCGTCACATCTATGGAATATTGAGACTATTTCAGGATTTTATTCTGGCAACGGTCATTGACACCGTCGAAAGATCGTCGCAAATAAACGCTGGAGTTGTGCATGATAGTTTGACAGTGGTTAATTGTGGGCAATAATTAACGATGTTCTGATTGTACAAACTTCATAAAAATTGGTAAGTATCAAGTTAGGCAAGAAACAACACGTCCATATAAATTTTATTGGTGTCCATAGACTATATCATTATTTTGCACTACGTATAACTGGAGCGTAATTTTTAAAAGCTCCGAATGTTGAGAAATTTATGCGCTAATAAAAATATTCAAATACCAGATAATAGTTATTTATTTTATCTAAATTATGTCAATTTTAAGGAATTCCAAGATACAGCAGGCAATCCGTAGTCGTTTTTATGAGCGGTATTCCAAAAAGGCGTAACGGTAATGGGCAGACGTGTTGCGTTCATTATTTGGCGCGAAAAAGCGGATTTTGTAACATTCCTAATTCAAGACAGCAACGTTTTAATAACAGCTAAACTCTGGATAGTTGTCTAGATATAGAAATCTTGTATATTTGTTTTTCTGGGATGTTCTCGATCTGTATTCTGCGATATAGATAGAATTTAATATTCAAGTCTTCAGAAATGTAAAATATGTATTGTTGAATACATTGAATGGATTTCCCAACTTTTGTGAATTTATTGTATTGCATTGACAAAAATATTCACCCGGCCCGCGGTCAAAAAAGTTTGGTGATATGAATCGAAACCGCAGTTTCGATCGATAAGTCTTCGGTCTCGGACCGATATTCACGATTGTCATGTATCAAGCTAAAACATGCAAAAACCATCCAAAATTTCACTAAAACGTGCAAAAATCTTACTGTATCTATATTTAGTGTTAGATTTTAAACTCATAACGGAGAAAGTTCCATAAGAAGAAAATGCGGTCTTATATTGTTTACTCATGTTCACAAAATACCTTACAAATAACTGCAGATTGATTAATTACCAAATTTGAAATACAGGAGATTAATTACAAATTTTTCTGATATATATATAGGCAGGATTTTTTTTGAACACTGTTTAGGCTTGTTGCAAAAAAAAAACCCGACAGGAATTATATTGTTCGGTCTTTTGTCTTCACATTAATAGTTACAAGAAATAACCAACCTAGGCTAATAGATCCTTCATCCGACCATAGTTTTCTATGAAGCCCATTTTGTTAGCACATATTCCCGACAAAAAATATAAAAAGCCAGTTACCAATTTAGACTAGCCAAGCACATTATTCAACTTCGCTATTTGCTTCAGCTAGCAATACCACTAGTCAATTTAGTGACATTAATGATGTAACATTATGCCCAAGGATGTTTCTGGGTATTTTTATGAAGAAACAACACCAAATGCGTTTTTGTTTACGCTCGCGCAAATGCGACGCTGGCCACAGATGATGAATGTGGCCCGCGGGCCTGGATTTGGACCACCCTGCTTCAAAACATCTAATAAAGTTAAATACTACACTTAAAACGGCTCTTGTCATTAATTTGAGTGTTACAAACAGTTGAATATATGTTTACTTTTTGAATGGCAACGTTTTATTCTGTAAATTATTTCCAGTTACAGTTTGGGGCAATGTAAGTCATGAAACAAACACAAATTAAGAAATACCGATAAACATTTTACCTACCTTACGTATGGTAGCCAAAGAACTAGTAGTTCGACCACAAGAAATCTTGAAAGAGCGAACCCATTGATCGTAACTCTCTCTTCCTTGTGTAATTATTCCACCAACTAGTTTTGGTCTTCCGAAATCTACTTGAAGCCATTCGCCTTTTCGATCTGACGGTAGGTTAATTGAATATTAAAGAATAATTTGAAAAGTTACTTCTTTTGCAATCTATTTGAACATCAAGTATAATTGAATTGCCACGTCCTATTAATTTGATATTGAATGTTTAAAATTGGTTATGACTAACTGTGCCGGGCCGCCCATGCTCCATAATTTCTTGGTTTTTCTCTGTTATCAAGCCTTCCATCATACGCGTTATGAGTTCCGTCCCATATCGAGGAAGCCCTGATAGCTGAGTCCGGTATATCTCTGTTTCTCATTCCCATAAAACAATACGCACCTATAATTGATAGTAAGGTTAATAGTATGATAATAAACAACAGCACTATGCCCAAATATATGAGTACGAAGAGCGAAACGAAACTTTGTACCCACAATCATCCACCAAACCACATCATCGCACAGCTGGAAGTGTGGAACAGGTACTATAACTTAGCTGTACCACGGTACCGAGAAGCGTCTTGAGGCCAAAGGAGCAGCAGGATAGCACGTTATAGGGGTGAGTTTATTGCTTAGTTTGATGATTTAGATACGAACATTTCACTCCTATTTTATTTATTTACCGTGTATAACAACATTTAAAATTTGATTTTTCAAACTTATTCTTGAAGTTAGGTATAATGGATTTTTTGAAACTCGCATGTTGTCTCGGAACTGCTACAAGTACACAAAGTGAAAAACGAATCGCATAAAGCCCTAAGAAATTTATAACATAAATAAAAGTAATAGCCTTCAATCGACAACAGCAATAATAAACTTTCAAAACAATCGGTAATTAATGAAAGAAGCGAATTTTCAAAACAACAGCAAGAATGACAGCAACAACATAATAACAAAACGATTTCATAGAACCATTTTGTGTCCAAAAAATGTGATCTTTGATATTATTGAATATATATCATCAGTAAAAGATGCAGTATGCTATGATACTGCATCGGATACAATACACATATTGTACAAGAATAAACCTTAAGGAAATTTTCATGATGCCCGGCCATTTTGTATTAATATACCAACAGTGAGTTTTGTCTTTCAGGGCATAGGGCAAATCGACTGAATATTGAACTTCATTTCTTACTATTACTTTGACGACAGGATGATCAGTTAATTTCGTGATATATGCAAAGATCTGATGTGATGGAACGCTTCTACAGGGCATTCACTTCTAATTTTCTCTTCAACTCAGATCAACAAAACAAACTTCATTTTCTTGATACTTACTCTTTGGTAAAGCCTCAACAATCTGACTTGTCTTTGCAAGCGAACCTAAAATATTTGTAAAATGGAGTTAGTCATTAGTATTCATTAGGATAAAGTACTACTCCGCATATTGTTTTCACGTTTTTCAAATTCAGCAGTCAAGTATGCTCACATGACAAATGAATGACGCAACGCAAATGAACTCATATGTACAATTGCGTTGGGCTCAAAACTATATTGGATCGACCTTTCTTATGGATTGCAGTCACAGTGGCTCCATGCAGGCAGAATGTTGTAGGAGGTCGCAGATCCAAGCTGTAGACTTCTCGTTATTACACATGTTTTTCTCAATGTGTTTCTATTGAAGGGAAAGCTGACTTTATGTGCATAGTCTTGTGTGACTGACTGTGGTGATGGTGAGCCAATAACGGCCAACTGCTCTTTATCGCAATGTGTTCTTCTGGACAGTGCGTGATTTAGCGCAATAATGCAATATTACTTCACTCTTACTTGGCCTTCAATTTATTTATTCTCATCTACAACAGCCTTTCTAATCTGTTTATCCCCCGAATTATTTTTGAAGTTAGGTATAAGGGCATCATCATCAGAAACCCTCAGCAGCAGAAAAGTCTGCACGCCTCTAATTGGAGCACATCACCAAAGTCACGTTAGATATTTTTGCATCATGCTATTTTGATCCACGTAGCTATCACATATCAGAAAAGCAGTCACGCTCAATACAAACAGAACGTTGTTACTGAATCACCATTTTAAAATAGTAGGCTAAATAGGGATATACAATAGGGCTGGGAATGGTTAACCGATTTCAGATGGTTAACGGTTACGATTTATTTTAACCGTTAACTGACATCTCAGGTACAAATCATCTTCATAACGTACGATTTCTTCAAATATGATCACGTCATCGCAAATTTATCTCTTGTGGCATTTAATTCAAAAGAATATTACTAACTGTGTGGGTAAGGACTCAATAAATGTGAAAAATAATGGAAGTACCAAGATTGCTGATTATGGAAATTTGACATTGATGAATTCAGAATCAGTTTTCGGACGATTTCGAAATATATTGTTCACGATTTCATTGCAAAATCGGATATTCAATGCCATACAACAAGTGCGCAGTTGATGCCGTTTTTCTTTATGATATATATCTCGAAGTAAAATTTGCACATCGAGCACTGATAATTTGTCACATAAATGACATTTAACAACGGAATCAGGTTTTCTAAATTACTTCCACACGCCCGAACCACGCTGCCAATCTCTTGAAGCAGAGCAATCATGAAACTATCTCGATTCGTGAATAATTTTAATAAGCGAAACCGGGATACAAACACGCGCAATTGCTTTATAAGCATTGTGACGCAACAAGCTGAAATTATAAATTATTACGTCAAACGTTATGCGGCGGATAACCGGTTAATTTTACCCGGTTAACGGTTAAAGTGTTTCCCTGAAATTCCAAGCCCTAATATACAAACAAAATTAGGCCTGATTGATGATCGTGATAAGTTTTTACTTTCCAGTTTTCTAATTCTTTCTTCCAGATTCTCGGCAGTTCCTTGTTCGCCTTTTTGACCTTTTGATCCTGATAATCCTCTTGGTCCTTGTGATCCGCGTTTACCAGGCCTGCCTTGGCATTGACTCGAATCACAAGTCAACTGACTCGTGTTTCCATTTGCCACAACGTGTGAGCAGAATTCAGATACATTTGGCATATGACAGCTTGCAACGTGCATTAAAATTGTAAACCAGAATATCTGGAATGTCTTCATTATTCTTTGTGATTCACGTGCTTACGCCGCTAGGGCTGTATACAATAAATACCGTGTTTCCCCGAAAACAAGACCTACCCTGAAAATAAGACGTAGCCTAAGTTTTAAAAAATGATTTTGATATAAGACCCAGTCAATAACGTGATTTTTTTTAACCTAGTCGATAGAAAGAAATCTCTTCTACACGTTTTCAATGATTGATAATATATGTTTTGCAGTTGTTTTGAATAAAAACGTGTTATTTATAAGTAAAAGGATATCGGTTTTCATATTTTAATAAATGAAAATATAAGACATCCCCCGGAAGAAAACTTCGCGGTTCGTCAAAAGGTCGTGTTGCTCAATGAACTGCTACTGGTTGCTACCACAGAGATATATAAATGAAGTGCGCTTCTCTCTCGTTTCCGCGGGATCATTTGAAAACTGTCTCGTTTTGACAACATGCTCCCAACTTTTCCTAGTCGCGTAATGCATTTCTTATGGGATTTGACAGAAATCAATTATTTGCGTCAATTTTTCTCATATATTCTCCTGATCACGACTCGTTATCCCAGACCAACATACGGTGCTAATTTTGGCAGTTTTACAAATTTGCTCAAGTTGTGGTTAATAATATAGCCAACGTATCAGTCTAAAGCGAACAAAAAAGACAACAGAACATTAGCCAAGATGGCTTATCGGAATCGCTTCCCCGTTCACCTGTATTTGGCCATGTTTTATCGCCTCAAGTATTTTGCGTGGCGATCTCAATATCATTGCGTGGCCTGGTTCCGTAGTTTCCGAGCTATGAATAAATATAAATAAAACTGAAGGGCGCTCTAGAAGTGTGTGTATCAATATGGAGGTAACTAATATAGTTCGCCTACTTTACATCAAAGAGTGTAAATTAGTGTTCTTCAACCTTTTTTTATCGTGGTTTACCTCTAACAATTTTTCAAGAACTTCGTATACGGTATACCTTACATACCAATGTTTATTTAAGGCCTAAATATACATTAAATTTTAAGCACATATTGTACTGCAATATCATCATTCAATCTAATAGGCTAGTGTCCGCAAGTTATAAATTCGACTGACGGCCTCAGCGGCAACACGAATAATGTTCAACGTAAATCAAACAAAGTGCATGGCAGCCGAAATCACCAAACCAGACAGACCTCATTATCTATATATTTTGTGATGTAATAATGTGCTCACGTAGTTTCTTAGCGTTAATGACATTTTATATTTCATGTGCGCCGCGTTTGCATTATTGGCACCGCTTGAATATTTTATAATTTATTATATTAGAGTTTAGAATACCTGACTTAGGATGTACCCTTCGTATACCCTTTATCAGTTGTATACCCAACTTATGGTCTGGTAAAGACTTGGGTATACCGTATACCCGGTTGAAGAGTATTGGTGTAAAGGGACCAAAGGACATATTTACTTGGCTAACACACACAGTACCTGATATCGTAATAGAACTAAAATAAGGAAAACGAGATCCACATCGGGCTCTAAATTCCCAACTCGAATATAATTGTATTTGAATACCCACACAGTTTCGCATATACATCCATATGCGCGTAATAGACGAAATACTGGCTAAAACCATATGCAACACGAAGAAACATTGGAAGCATAAATGCCAAAATGGCGGCAATCAAATGACAACGCGAAACGAGAGAGAAGATCGTTCCATGTATTTCCAGTTCAATGGTTGCTACGCCTTATCAGTTACCGGTAGCAATGAGCATGTGGCTAGTTATGTCAGTCAATCTCAAAGATTATAATAGTTATGCAGGCCATCGCAATCAAATTTATATTCGCGAATATTAACAACAAAAAATAAACACATTTACACGTGTGTAAAATTTCAGGGGGTCCAAGGTTGCAGGGCCGCAAAAACTTTTGAGGAGGTCTCGTGGGCTGCAATCGGGGAAAATTTGAAAAGGATCAAGATAGCGCGAGTTTACTCACTTCAAATATATTTAAGAATGAGACTTTATCGTTCTAATCAGTTTTTCGAGGGAACTATAAGGCCATTAAATATTTTAAAATTCCTTCCAGAAAAATATCGTGGTATTTTCGGTATCATTTCTCGTGTTTGGTTTTGTAATGCCGCTTAAAGTTATATTCTTTCGTGACAGAGATTACTTTAAAACACACCAGACACTGTGGTTCAACGTTTTTATGGGTAGGAAATACGTTTCCTCCCAGTTTACTTCGGTCATCTTTTTTCTACACTCATTGTATGACGAATTGTTATGTTTGAAAAAAATTTATTACTTGTAGCGTGAGCAGGCCTAGTGCTACCGTCAAAAAAATAATCAAGTCTACGTTGGGACTTCGGCTAGGTCCTGTATGCACAAAACAATTCATTCTCTTTTTACCGATCACAGGGCGTCATATAGGCACCGTCTTGACGTTTATAGATACAACAATGAAATCCCGACATAGGGATTAGGAAAAGAACTATACCCAGTTGGAATAGTTCAAAAATAAATCAAAATTGTTCTGCTAATAAATACAAATATCTGCCAATGGTTTAGTAGTGTACGCTTAAATTTGTTCTGCGGACCGCACGGATGACAGCTCATCATAAATAGAAATTTCAAGTCGTTGTTTCTGAACTATAATGCGTCTTTTAGAATACTTTTCATTTTATCGTGCTTGACGCCTCCTTCGTTACCCCCAATCTTATAGGAAAACCAGGTAGGCCTACTTTCGACGCCCCAGGCTTCACCGTGTCGGTACCAAAACGCGACTTTCGTAAATATCTGAGCTTTGCTTTCTTGTTTTATACTAACTTGGTTTCATTGTGTATGCCAAATCGCGAGAAAAAAAAAACAAAGCGGCATCATTACAAGTCAAATAATGGGTTTGCACCACATAACCTTCATTACTTCAAATCATTATATATACTTCAAGTTTCCGATTTTGCTCTGAATAATGGCCGTGTACAAGGGCACGACAAGTTAAAGAAAATCACATTCATTCATTTCACATTCTTTGTACGTTAAGCAAAGGTCTAGTCGGGGACATATTGCGATAACTATGAATCGTTCTTTCGATTACAGAGAAGTGTCAAATAGTTTAACCGTTCTTCAAGGGGCAGGCTATGTTAAGCAAAGGTATGGTGGGGGACATATTGGAATAACTATAATTCGTTCTTTCGATTACACAGAAGTGTCAAATAGTTGAACCGTTATACAACAGGACATGCTGTGTCACTCGGAAACATTTGTTTTCCTTTCTTTCATTCTTTTAGTGCAATACCCGGCCGAATTGGGCTTATAGGTAAGATTGTTACAAAAAATAATTTGAGATTGGAAATAACTGAAAACTCGTATTTTTTACTCAAATGATAACATACAAGTATCTCAATTCAACAGTAGTCGTTAAATGTCAGACAACAATCAAGTGGGCGGTATTTTTAAACTTGGACATGGGCGCCGTTTTTCGCGTAGATACGCCAATGCATGATGTATAAATTGTAATACCGAACAAACGCGCTCTAATGAATTAATTGAAATTATACGGAATATATATACAAACGTTTGAGTGAAATTGAAATTGGGTTATACTGAAATACCTTTGTATTATGTTTATTGTGAATTTTTGCTCTGGAAACTTGGCGTTCCAGCATTTTTTCAAATGTCAGGATCATTATTGGAGGCCGAAAAACTTATATAATTAGAGTTTAGTATCGTTACAAAATAATAATTTTATATCCCCTCGAAATTAATCCGTTTGAACTTGCATCCACGATAAATGCCTAAAACTTTTGACAAAGTAATTTAAACAACCTCTCCCGTTCGACAATTCTTTTATTTAAAGAGATATTTCGTGAAACTCTTATGGTATTTACCGTAGTGACAATCCCCCCCGGGTGTTTTTCTCTGGAACATGGCTCTAATATTCAATACAAGTGTTGACATCAAGTTTATGTGCAAGGCACAAAGACAATATACCCGAATCACGAATACGGCATGTTTTGTAATTGCTCTAGATACACAATTAGTAAATTATCGTCAACTACAGAGACTTATAATAATGAAGTGGTTGACAAATTTCTAATGAAAGCAGTTCATACAATGTAGGCTACAACAGATTAAAAGAAAATTCGTTTCGCCCGACATAACGAATTTTACGTACCATAGGTTAAGAGAAACATGAACGTTCTGTTGGTAGAAATAATAAATTGAATTATTCATAGCTGAATTTTATTTACAGACCAGCATACACATGTTCATTAAATTCATCATATTAAGTATACATATCATAACAGACTTCTTTGATAAATTCGACCCTCAAACAGACGTGGCCATGCCAGGATTGGGGGTTAACTCTGATATATCGACAGGATATCGGATTCGGAAACATGTTAATTACTTTCGTATCTCTGTCTCTGTTCGCAGTAAAAACCTGGTGAAAAAATGTTTAACTTCAGTATCGTGTTTATTTACATCAAGTTTCGACTATATGGGAATCGCGTATGAGTTTTCTCGTACAATCTGGAAATCTCCATTATTTATAGATAGGATTTTCTTATCATCTTTGTAATAAAATCAACCATAATTTCCAGTTGCATTGATTGAACTGTTTAAAGTATCTTATCAATCGGTATGACCTAATTTTTGCTTGTACAGTACTCAATGATGGGGAGGATCAAGCCACTAGCTGAACGCGAGTCATAATCACCATGCATCGAAGTGAAATGAATCGAACTCCCCAATTCAATCCCAACGAATCACCATTGAGATTTAACTCAGTGATAAATTTGACCTCAGACTCTGATGACTCATGCCTCGACTAAGTCCGGGATTAAGTTAAGGTATAGCCTGTAAAAATTAAATTATTTACGTAAAAATTAAATTATTTACAAAGTACTTAGCAGGCAGATATCAAGTCGAATAAAACTAACCTTGGTGGATCCGGATTCTTGAATCAGCTCCAACGTAGATGAAGAATATCCGCACGATATTGTAAATGTTTTGATCCATTGAACATAATCATGCCTTCCTTGAGATATTACTCCTCCAACCATAGTGGGCTTTCCCAAATCAACCAGGAGC